GAATTGAATTGAATTGAATTGAATTGAATTGAATTGAATTGAATTGAATTGAATTGAATTGAATTGAATTGAATTGAATTGAATTGAATTGAATTACAATTACAATTACAATTATTACGATGATATAAAAGGTATAAATATTAGCCTCAAAACAGTTTTCCCACTTATAATTAAATTTCAAATGACCTATGTGATGGTAACACACTTTTGACGTACGTCACTAGCTGTGCGTTACTTTAATAGCATTTGTTAAAGCGAGATAAATAGCGTGACCGACCTTACGCAAATACGTAGCAAGAGAGCAACAAGGTTGTTTACAAATGTTGAATAGAGATAGCGATTTGGACGTCTTTCGAATTATTAATTTTTTCACACGCATTAAGGAAAAAAAAACGAACTTTATCAAGGTATCTATGTTGATATCTTTGAAAAATTTCAAACAGAACCTTAGTGTGGTTAGTAGTATCTGAGAATGTATTTTGGGTTACGTTTGAATATCGGTTAGGGTCTTTATATACATGATGCACCCTGTATATGTTTATTGTAGTTTTGACAGGCTAGGGTGAAAAAACTTACTTTCTGCTAGGATCGTAGGAAAAATTTATTACGATATATCTCTCTCTGATTTTGATTTTCAGGATTCGGCTCCTTTGTCGCCTTGTCCTTAAATATCTTATTCAAATTGTAATATTAGACTAACAAGACTTATAACGTAAATTTCTTTTTTTTTTGGGAGAAAAAATTTAGGATTAAAAAATAAGTCACATTTAAATGATGAACATATCTACATATTAAATATGGAATACATGGAAAAACTTTACAAATAATCGAACTCGATATTGATAAGATTATAAATGTCATAATTGTGTTACCAACCTGTCATGCTTTTCGTAACCACGCTTATATTATGTAAGTAATAGGATATTAAGAAAATATTAGGAGTACTATATTCATATTTTTCTGGTTTTAGTATTTGTATTTGACAATATAACTTGCTTCCTTTACGATACTAAAATCATCGGTGGATATGAGGTTAAAAATAGATCGGATTTTGCTTATCAGGTTTGCAAAATCTTTATCAATTATCAACCACGGTAATGTCATCTATTATTTCCAGGCTTTGCTTCTCTACAAAAACGCACCTTATTGTGGAGGGACAATAATTGACAAAAAACACATTTTAACTGCTGCTCATTGCTGCAATCCCGAGGAAGGCCTAATAGTGAAACCATCAGAAATGACAGTTGTTATAGGAAATTTGGATTTATACTCGTATGATAAGCTTTGTGTCAAAAAAGTCCAAAATATTTTTATTCACGAAGGATTTAATTTGAGTGCAATAACAAACGACATAGCTGTGATACGAGTATTTTTCACTAGATATAACTTTACGCTTTTAATATTTTTATAGCTTGTAGATAATCTCGAATTTTCGAAAGACATTCAGGCTATAAACTTAACAATAGACCACTTAAGTTCTGGCAATTGTAACGTATCAGGATGGGGAACCACATTTGTCGTAAAAATGTTCTTATTTTATTTGCACAGTAATTACTTCTTTTAGCAGGGGTCGAACTTAATGAATTCAAAGTTACTTTACGCTGATGTACCTATAGTTGAATGGAGCTTATGCAAGACTATTTTAAAAAGGTGGAGAGTAGAATTAGGAGAAAATGAAGTTTGTGCTGGAGGAAATACAAAGGATTCGTGTCAAGTACATATTTTTGAAATTATTTATTTTTTGTTTGTTACTTTGAATAACTAACTTAGGGAGACTCGGGGGGACCTTTAGTGTGCTCTGGACAATTAACAGGAATTGTTTCGTATGGCATATCCTGTGGGATTCAATATATACCTGGAGTTTACACAGAAGTGGCCAAATACACAAAATGGATCGAAAAGCAAAAAACAAGATCAACAAGCCCAAAAGATGAAATCAATTTAGCATTATTTATAATGCTATTTTTTGGAGTTTTTGTTAATTTGTGACGATAAAGTTTGTAGAAACCTGTAAATGTTTTGTAATAGTAGTGTTTCATAATAAAATAACACAATTTTATTTGTGAAGGCAATAATAAAGTTAAATATCAATTTTTGAAATTTTTTTATTGTATGTTTATTGCCATTTTCCTTTTTTCAAAAAATATTAAGTGATCATTGCAGTAATTCGTGAGTAACCAGTGATGCAAGAGCAATTTAGTTTTTAGCAGTTTTCATTAAAGATAATCCCTGATTTATTGCTTTACAAGGAAGCGAACAGATAAAATTTTTAGATATATACCTACCTATATAAACTATCTAACAAGTCAATAAAGCCTAATCACTATGTTCCTCTCAACGCTTCTACTTTGTGAGTAATTTAATAATTTAATTAAAATTACATTTTAAATTTAGGTACCCTTTTTTCTTTGAGTGCTCAAAGAGATGTTAAAATTGTTGGAGGGACTGAAGTCAAAGATAGGTCTCAATTCGCCTATCAGGTAAGTACTACTCAATTGTTGATTACCTCAATTAAATTTTACTACAGGCACTTCTTTTGTATTATGGTGGCCCTTACTGTGGAGGAACAATAATTGACAAAAAATACATTCTAACAGCTGGGCATTGCTGTTACTACAGGGAACAAGAAATGCTACCTTCTGATGTCGAGGTGGTTGTTGGTAATTTGAATTTAACGGATCGACAAATTGTTAAAAGTGTGAAAGCAATTCACATTCATGAAGAATTTAACATGGACACTCTTGACAATGATTTGGCCATATTTGAGGTATTTCTCAAGTTGTGAAGCCTAATTTTATTTTTTTTTAATTAGTTGACTGAACCTTTCGAAAATTGGACTGAAACTGTATCACCAATTGAATTAAATAAAGAGCACGTGACCAGTGGTGACTGTATTGCGTCAGGCTGGGGAACAACATTTTCTGTAAGCTGGAATGCAACTTTTACAAAAAAATGCATGCGTTTTTTAGGGTTCTAAGCAAATGAGCTCAAAACTTTTATATGTGAGTGTTCCTGTTATTGACTGGGCGGCGTGTTATGAGTTTTACGGTGCTCAAAATATCCATGTGAATAATAAGTCGATTTGTGCAGGGGCTCTTGAGAAGGATTCTTGCCAGGTATAATTATGGTTTTGTATTTTTTGTTGTGATTTTGCATAACGATTTTAGGGAGATTCTGGTGGCCCTTTTGTCTGCCAGAATAAGCTAACAGGAGTTGTTTCTTATGGCATAGGATGCGGTTATGAAAATTTTCCCGGAGTTTACGTTGAAGTGGCGAAATATTCCGATTGGCTGAAAAATTACACGTCGTCTTCGACGTCTTTAAAATTAGCGACTTTTTGTCTCGTGACTTATTTTGTAACATTAATAAATGTGTAAATATTTTGGTGCTTACTTTTCTGAAATCGTTCAACATTTTTTTGATTGGCTTGAAAATACACTTTTGCCTTTTTTTTGTTAAATTTTTACGTAGTAATTTACAAATAAGACATCATTTGTGCTTAAACAATTTCCCTTTTTACCCTTTCCAGGATTCATAATCAATTTATCACTGCCAAAGCAACAAAAAGCCGGCGAAAGCAGCATTCATTAGAGCTCTTTACTAGGTCAAGCCCTTTCACTTATTTTCCAAAATATAATGAATTACAAGTTCAAAACACAACCGGTTATATTTGTGATTTTACCTCCGAGTTAGTGACGTGGCGCAGGGTGGTGATAAATTGCACACTTATTGTGAAATTATCGACGTTTAAATCGATAATGACGAATTGTTTTACATCAAACCGGTGAAAACGTCTCATATAGAGTAACATTTGCGCGAAAAATGTCGTTTTATTGGCGACTATCTCCCGCCATTAAATCCCGTAAAGTTCACCGCCAACACTTCCGTCACTTTATTTCCGGAAAGTCTGCAAAGACATATGCAGCGGAATCTTTTTGCGATGGATGTTGGGAGCGAGTAATGCGCTTTCGGTGCTGGATTTTGCAAGATATACGGTGCATTGTGTGAGCTTATGCAAGCTCGTTGCTCTCCCGAAAATATATTTAATATCGATAAGGTTTTTCGACTGCTGAAAGTAAATTGGATCGATGTGTTAAGAGTTTGTCAAAACAAGATAACTCTCTAAAGTAGATCCGATGAGTTACGGTGGGACACTACATTTAATTTTGAAGCGACTTTGGGACCGTTATTGTCATTGGACAAAGTTAAAATACGAAATTTACGAGATTACACGATAAAACTTATAATAACAAAGGAGGATGTACTTTTATTGACTTGTATGCAGTTATAACTACTCTGTTTACGTTCGGACGGCGAGGGCTGACTTATAAGGGGCGTGGGGGGAGATTTGCGACTTCAGCAACTTACTTACAATAGGACACCAAGATATCAAGCGGGTTTTAAAGGAAACTTTAAAGACAACTTTCAATTGCCTTCTTAATTGATTGTTCGTAAAATGGTGGATGCGCCGGGCAAAATTTAAATAAAAAATTTAGTGCATTCATAAACTAAATACATAAAATTTAAATGTCTGGAACCGTTAATTTTAATCAAACCACAGAGTATGAAATGTGTTAAATAATTGTGAGCCATACGAGATTGCTCTCGTTTAATTGCGTTAAGTTGATTTAGAGCTTTCATTCTTTCCTGAGTGTCCTCATTTGAAATAAACAATAAATTTGCGCAGCGCTGAAACCACAAACTAATTTTCCAAATATTAATTTTTTTTTATGAAAACAAGTAAAGCTTCGTTTTCATTTGGTTCCAATTGAGGCAAATACAATCCAACAACTAATTATTCTATAACAATTCTTTCTCGGAAATCCTCTGAAATAAAAATAAATTGAACAAGGATAGTAAAGAACGGCAATAATTTCAGTCCATTGAAACTGAAAAAACTAGGTCAGTTAGTTTTATGTAAAACTAGCGTAGAATGTAGCCATTGTGACACCGCTGCCGGAAACTCAGCCATAATGGTACACCATCAGTATTCACCTCGCGACATCACTTAATTGTAAAATTATCTTTTTAAATTTAGTCACTAAGTGGGAAAAAATCACCCAGGGACGACACTAACGAATTTTTATTAGTTCTTAGCTCAGGGAATAACTCACAGCAATTTGTTCATGCTCCGAATAAATCGAATGGTTTTCGATTTTTTTATAGGAAATGCGTGCAAGGAAGTTGGTAATTATCCTTGGAAAGTTGCTTCCTGAAATAACAATTCGTCTTTAATGTTATTTTGATGCGAATAACGAGCTTTGACCAGTGCAGCTTCCGATCGAACAGACGCACTCAATGTCGACTTGTCTTGGTTAGGGATCGGCAAAAAGCTTCATTTTGGACGCTTATAGCAACAATTATAAACGAAAAACACAGGCATAAATATTGGAACTTGGGAAATCTTACAATTTTAAAAGCTTTCAGTCATTTTCTGCAGTTCAAAAATCAAAAAGTTTTAAATTGTCTTTATCTCAAGCACAAAAAACAGTTTTGTGTTGACTGTCATTGTTTGACTGATTTTTCGCAAAATAGAAGTCTGTAGAAAAATAAAGCATAAGATCTTTTAGTTACCTAATTTGAAAACATTTTAAATTACTTCCTATTAAATCATAAAATGCTCAAAACTCTAAATCTAAAGGTTTAAACATTTTTTAGTAAAAACTTAAAATTTGAAAAATCTAACATTCCCAAAAGCTTTTAAAAAAATTTTTAAAAAGTTTATTTATAAAAATTAGTAAAATTTTAGCTACCAGAGGCTTTATACTTAATTGAATTTAGCAAACATAAAAAAAATAATAATTTTAAAAAGCTTCAAGCTTAAAACATATTGCTTTATTAATTTTATGAAACATAGTATATAAGACAAACAGATTTCTTTTCAAAAGATTTTGGGTTTTGAAATTGTTATAAATCATTTTATGGTTACAAGTTAGAAAAAGCTCAAAACCGTAAAAACTTGCAGTTACCTATTGTCTAGAAACGTAAAAAAAACTAAATAAAAAACTTACAAACATATTAAAACTAAAAACTAAAGTTTCAAACGTTTTGAAAAAGCTTATAACTTATAAGCTTAAGAATTGTAAAAGCGCTAAATCGTTTCGAAGGCGTCAAAATTGTAAATTTTTTTGATAAAAACTAATCCTTTAAGCAATCTTTCTAAAAAAGCTTATTCATAAAAACTTGTCTACCAGATGTTTCCTACAAAAACAGTCACTGATTTTTTTAGTATCTGCAAAGTTTTCATTTCTCGTTGAGCAGGAAAAACCAAAAAATTCCAAATTTCCTTTTTGCGGATCTCAATTTCGCGAATAAATTAAAAGGTAATGTCGCGCCTCCGTAAGACGGAAGCAAAACTTGTCTCGAAAGTTTTATTAAACGGTGAAAGAAGTAAAAAGCACCGTAAAGCTGGAGCTTTGGCGTGGGTGCGCTAATTAAGCTGTGGGTGGCATTCAATCAAAGTGCTCCTCAGGATTAGATGCAAGTTGCATTCATTCAATGTGACTGTGGCCAGGGTGGGGTTTCAAGTTTTTGTGTTGCGCCGGTCGGGGCCACGTGGGAGTGCAAGAGCTTTATGAAAGCTCAGTTTCGCAGCATCCGCGGACAAACGTGCACTGGGAAAGCTCGACTTGTCGCGAATTTCCACGCAACAGGCGAGACCAAATAATCTCCACAATGCTTTGATTGATTTTTTTAGCGACAAAAATTTATAAATAAATAAAATGTTTGATGGAACTTTTAATGGACTTTGCAGTGAGGAAGAATTTTCGAGCGTAAATATTTACACCGCGTCTAGTTTTAAAAATAACGCTTGGAGGTAAGTTTGTTCAACACTTTGTAGTATTTCTGGTATTGATCTCGGTTTAAATTGTGCGTTAAAAATTCAAGTGATCTCGTTATCGGAATAATTTTTATGACGCGATTCTACTTGAAGCAAATTGGCCAATAAAAGCCACGTTTTATTTTCCCCATTGATGTTAAAATGATATTTTCCAGCGTCGTAAAGTTCTCATTTGGTAACAAACTGTGTTTGTTTAATTTCAAGCTACTTTCAAAATTTAATTTTAAGTCGGGCGTTTGTGTAACAACCCGGTCCATTTATTCTAAGTCCATTTTAGGCTCCTGAAGGGGTCAGGAATGTGGGTGCTTTCGGGTCGTAAAATAAATTTTCTCTAAATCAATTTTTTGCTCTGAGAATTTCTAATTGAATGTATAAGTCAGTTTTACTGTGTTTACTACTGTAGACGATATTAAAAGTTCTATAACTAAAGGCGAAACGGCGACATCAAACTAATAAGAATAAAGTCAAAACTTTTAGCCTCAAACTAATTTAACACCATACTTAAAACTTTACAAAGTGGTCTTTCCATCATGCGCAAAAACTGAAAATTTCGTGAATTATTTAGTTATAGAAGGCAAACTCCAATAACTTAACAAGGAAGTAATTACAATTCCTGAGCAAAAGTTTGCTTTTATTACACTTGGTCGACGATTTTATGACCTGCCTCAAGTTTATTTTTGCATTATTTCATCTAATTTCAAAGATCTTTATATCGTTTTAATCAGTTTTTTTATTGCTCCAGATTTATCATTAGAAAAAAGTATTCGCTTTGGATCGAGTTCACTAGGAAATATTTATAACTTCCTTAGGTCTAAATTGTTGGCCTCGCAGAAATAAAATGAAGTCGACACTTATATTATTTCTCTCATAAATCTGAGTTCAGTCGTTCAAGCTTCTTCGAGTGACTTTTAAATTAATTTTTTTGCCTCTAAAATTACCCCCGGATACGTTCCATGTTTACGCTTTATATAAACAAGAGCAATTTATCAGAGTTTGAGCAGAAATTGTAGCCTTTCAAACTATCTAGTGGAACATCAAGTTACAACATTATGTATAGTGACCCACGCTAAAATTACCGGAATTTGATCCTCTATTTGCTCCGGATTTTTTTTATTTAGGTCAAAAAGTTTCACTATTTCCTGCTTCCGGACCATATAAGAAACAAAAAGTTATTTTCAAACAAAATTTAACATGCATTCGGGTTAAGAACAACGATAAATTTTATGTGATATGTTAAAAAATGATTCATTTACTTTTCAGCAAATAAAAGTTCTGCTTGAAACTTGGAAAGTTTGGCAGTGTGTAGGCCAAACTTTTCAGATTTTTCATACCGCAACGATTAAATCTTATTCCAAAAGGCGCGACATGATTGTCGATAAACTTATTTATGAAAACGCAAACACTTAAACGCCCGAAATAAAGAATCATCACAAACCGACATAAAACTGTTTTCGGATCCTTTTCTCGCATACATAAACTTGCAAATTCATAAATCATAAATATTAAACGTGGCAAGCTATAACTGTACATACCTACGGAACT